ACCACTTCGCAGGAATTAACGAAGGAAATGATTTTATCTTTCATCCCTTGGGTTAGCCCACACATGAACAAAATCTGTGGTTATTTCCTTAGAGTGTCATCCATGTAACTAAACTTCTGCTAAAGTGCATTTCTGTTGGATTGGTTGCTATTGAAGATATTTAATTATACAGGACACTGAACGTGTACAGTAACAGCAAAAATAATCAAAGCTACGAGAGATATGGTCGAGGTAATTCCTAAAGAAAAAAAACTCAAAGTCCTCAATTGCTTGAAAGCTCAATTTAGATTTCTATCAACCCAAATGAAATTAATCTCCGAGGGATTAGTAGAACAAAAACGACAACGCAATTACATTTGTGTAGTGCCTTTCACGTCGGGAGCACGTCCTAAGAACAACCTCACCTCGCTATTTACAGTGTTTCTGTCAGTTGATGTCTGCCAACGGTTATCTTTTCCAATAGCTTCACTCCTCCCATCAGTCCTGCGGTTGGAAAACACGAAGTCCCTCTTGGTTGAATCAAAAGTGGAACCTGTCCCATAGCGAAACCTTTGAGAAAGCGGGTCACCCCCAAACACCTCAACGTAGTTGGGAGGTATCTGGATGTTTCTACTGGCTTTCTGAATTCCATTCAGCGAGTTCCTAGCGTCAAAACAGCAGCAAGGGGAGAGAGAAAAATTGGCGCCAAAACCATGTCTGTTTCGGTGGACCTTAACAGCGAGAATAATCAAAACCACGAGAAATACGGTCGAGGTGATTCCTAAAGACACGACCAAGTAAAGGCTTACATCAGACGGAAACCCCGAGTCCTCTGGCATCCCGATGATATCAGAGAGCATTTCTGCATCATCTCCCACCATCGATAAGTTGATGGTCATTGTAGCCGAGAGCGAGGGTGATCCATTGTCTTTCACCACGATGACCAACCTTTGTTTATTGCCATCTTTGCCCACAACACTGCGGATGGTCCAGATTTCTCCTGTGTCAGGTGAAATGGTAAATAGTCCGGGATCAGTCGCCTGGAGGATCTGGTAGGTCAGACGCCCATTCTGCCCAGTGTCAGCGTCAACGGCTGAGACCTTGGCCACCAGGTAGCCTGGCTCTGCCAACCGCGATACAGTCTCTGTCACTGTTGAGCCATACTCGGGCAATGGAGACACGATCACTGGGCTGTTGTCATTCTCGTCCAGGATGGTGACATCCACAGACACGTTGCTGATTAACCAAGGCACTCCACCGTCCTGAGCCTGAACTTGGACCTGAAAGTTTTTGAGTTGCTCGTAATCAAAAGATCTCTGGGCCACTATAACACCAGAGTTGGAGTTGATATGAACGTACAAGGACACCGACTCGCCCTGAACGGGACTCTCCAGGATGGAATAGGAGAGTTGGGCGTTCTGGTTTAAATCCGGGTCAAACGCAGTCACGGAGAATATAGAAGCGCCAACCAAATTGTTCTCCATCACTTGGGCTGTGTATAAAGGCTGTGAAAAGCGTGGTACGTTATCGTTGATATCTGAAACCTCCAGTTGAATGATCTTATGGGTTGTGAGAGGCGGGGAACCTCCATCCGCGCACGTGACGGTGGCATTATACTTGGAGACTTCTTCCCGATCCAACGGCTGCAGTGTGAGCAATCTGTAATAGTTTTTCAAGGACGAGTCGAGTTTAAAAGGAACGCCCTTCCCGATCTCACACTGTATCTGTCCATTTTGTCCTGAATCTTTGTCTGTCGCACTGATCAGAGCCACGACTGTACCGGGCAGGGAGTCTTCGCGCACTGGACTGGACAAAGAGGTCAGGGTCACCTCAGGCGCGTTGTCATTCACATCGAGAATGTGCACTAAGACATCACAGTAAACGGGAGTGGCATAAGGGCCTCTATCCTTTGCTTGCACATTGATCTCAAACAGATTATTTTCCTCATAATCCAAACTCCCTTTCACTCTGAGTTCCCCACTTTGGGAATCCAAACCAAACATTTCTCGCACCACAGCAGTCGAGAGATGGCTAAAAGAGTAAACTATCTCTCCATTTGAACCGTCATCCAGATCGGTGGCGTTCAGTGTCATCACAAGGGTTCCTTTGGGCGCGTTCTCCGTCAGGCTGACGGTAAATACCGACTGAGGGAAAACCGGCTCGTTATCGTTAGTATCCTCCACTGTAATCATTATTTGTACAGTTCCTGACCTTTGAGGAATGCCTCCATCCTCAGCGATTAACATTAACCTGTGGGTCGATGCCTTTTCTCTATCCAGTGCCTTTTCCAGCACTAACACGGGCACTTTCTCATCCCTGCTGCGCGTCTGCACATCGAGAGTAAAGAAATCGTTCGAGACCAGTTGGTAGGACTGTAGGGAGTTGCTACCGACATCCGGATCATAGGCAGACTCGAGCTGGAAGCGAGCTCCTAGTGCCGCCGCCTCTGGGATCTCCAGGCGGAACTGGCTGTTTGGGAAACTGGGCGCGTTGTCGTTTACATCCAAAATCTCCACTTCTACATGGTATAAATTCAGGGGGTTGTGGAGCACGGCCTCGAAAGACAGAACACAAGCGGCACTCGGCCCACAGAGCTGCTCCCTGTCGATTTTTTCTTTGATAAACAAACTCCCATCGTCTAAATTCACCTCCAAATTCTGCTGTTTGGACCCCGAGACAATCCGCAGACCGCGAGCCGAAATCTCCTTTACGTCTAACCTTAAATCGTGGGCGATATTCCCAACAAAGGCCCCGGTTTGGAGCTCTTCCGGAATCGAGTAACGAATCTGTGCGGTCACCGAATCCCAGAATAAGAATATAAAATGTAATAGCCAGAAAAACATCCAATACCTTTTGACACAGACCATCGCCACCGTCCAAACATGTAATCACTCGAGCAGCACACACCGCCTTGTTCGGTAATTCGGTGCTTTACATCCTCGTGAAACCGGCGGACGAGTGCAGTCCTTTAAAAGCAATCCTTCTTTGATAATCTCAATCGCTAATATTGTTCTGATAGATGTTCATTGCGTCTCCAGAAGCCCCCACGGTTTGCATATCCTGTCCTCGCAGAGCCTCGCCCAGCCTGTACTCCGATTTCCCGTTGTTGGATGCTGGTGAAGGGGGCAGTGTGGATCACCAGTGACAGTCCAAGGCGTTTATTGGTGGATGTCACCGCTGACACACTCTACCAATCGGACCGCCACATTTCTTAAAGCGGGATAACCCCTTTAAACCCTCTGCAGTCAGCCGTGCAATTAGGGTTGTACGGCTAAGATGTGCTGTTTTACATTTTCTTTTGACTTTTTCGATTTTGTATTCCAACGAGTTGGAATTGTGAGTGGGTATCGAATTTACTGCAATTGACTAGGCTTCCAGGACTATTATAAACGTATAAATAAACCTAGAGTAGATCAATTGTATCCTAAATAAATACAATAAAATAATGCGCCCATTTAATGCTGCGTTGTTCTAATTGATTGCTTTGATCATCACCATGTGCATTCAAATAACAATAATAATCCTTGCATTTCATATAGCGCCTTTATCGTGTCGTTGAATACAATGTAAAGTAAATTGACTGTGTGTTTTGTGGACGAAATGCGGCAGCCAATTGCTCACAGCAGTTTCCCACAGACAGCCGTGGATTTGGCCGAAAGGTGTTACCAAACGCTGCTTCCGGTGCTCAGACTCAATCTGAAAGGCATGTGGTAACAATGCCATTTGCAATAGAAACTGCCTGTTCAGTGATTCTCCTCTACGTGTACTTAAATGCAGAAGGAAACAGTTAGAGAAAAAAATAATGAATATGTCAAGCAACTAGAGTACGCGAGGGATAGCAAAGTTGTCAAGTTGGCACGTACTTGATTTATATTTATTTCTAGACTAATACTTCCTAATTATTTTAGCGCCACCCGCCACCATTCAGAATTACAGCGAAACTTTCTTAATTTCGCCTTATTTATTACAACTATATTGTAGCAAAGATACCTGCCTCTCTTGGAAACTGCCAAGATTATTTTCTAATCATCAAATAACGAAAGAGATGCACATAGAAAACATCTACTAATTATAGCTCAACTTGCACGCTTGCACCACCCGTGTTTTAAGACCGAACCAAATTTCTGACAAAAATGCTTGGTGAAAGCGTCACAGATGGATGAGTCCAGAAAACCTGGCACAACTTTACGCAGCGTGTTTTTTTTTTTAATTATGCATTGGAGCAGTTTGTAAACGTGAATGGAGGAAAGGATAGAAGAGGCCAGTGACATATATCAGTTTCGATTCGGTGTAAGGAAGCACTCACTGTTCAACCAACTCCAGAGGCCAACAATGTACTGTCATGAGTACGCACTGATCTTTTGCGTTAAAAAAATCAAATCATTGTTCAGACTNAAAAAAAAGTCAGTGCTTTTCCCAATATTTCCGCTGCTATCCCTTGAATCCTGTTCCATTTTTAAATAATTATTTTTGGAAACAGAAATTCCTGAGTGTCACGTGTCAACAACTCGCCCAGGGTCAGTAGGGTTAGGGTTAGGAATCCTCCTGTATTCATGATTTCAATGTCAAACAACACGATACTTAATCAAATTCCTATTAAAGTCCTGCACTATTTGTTGCTTGCTTATCTTATTCTTGCTAGCTATTAGTCATCCTAACTTAATTCATGCTCCTCCACACCACTACCACCCCCCTCCCCCGCCCCCCACCCCTCCCTTCAATGTGACTCGCTACTGTGAATTTGCACTTATATAGCAACGTGAAGGTGGGTGACATTACTTTGACCATCACAGTTATTTGATTGTAAAAGAACTCTCATGTTCTCTCATGTTTATTCATATGGGACTCCCCGATTATGTGTCTGTGTGTATGTCGGTCTGTCAGTCTAAATGCCCTTCAGTCTGTCTGTCTGTCTGTCTGTCTGTCTGTCTCTCTGTCTGTCTGTCTGTCTGTCTGTCTGTCTGTCTGTCTGTCTGTCTGTTTGTCTCGCTGTTTGTCCGTTTGTTATCCACATATTCAATTCAAATACATGGAGACATTGAGAGAATCCTCACCTCGCTGTTTACAATGTTTCTGTGATTTGATGCCTGTAGATATTCCTCTTTGGCATCGGCTTCCTTCGTGACATTATCCCTGCAATGGGATGGATCGCGCACACTGGAGAACATGAAGTCTCTCTTGACCGACCCCGACGTTGAACAGGTCTCATAACGGAAACTTTGAGAAAGTGGATCCCCACCAAATACTTCCACATAATTGGGAGGTATCTGAATATTCCTACTGGCTCTCTGAATCCCATTCAGCGAGTTACTAGTTTGAAAGCAACAACACGTGCGAAGAGAGTAGTTATTTCCCAGACCATTTCTGTTTCTGTGGACCTTAACAGCCAGGATAATCAACACCACAAGAAATATGCATGAGGTGATAGCTAAACATACAACCAAGTAAAGGTTGATGTCAGAAGGAAAGCCCAGATCGTCAGGTAAACCACTGTTATGTGAAAGCATTTCTATATCGCTGCCTGATATGGATAAGATGATGGTCATTGTGGCTGACAGCGAGGGTGACCCATTGTCTTTTACTCCTATGACCAACCGTTGTTGAGTAGGATCTTTGCCCACAACACGTCTGATTGTCCAGATCTCTCCTGTGTCAGGTGAAATGGTAAAAAGCCCAGGGTCAGTCGCTTGGAGAATCTGGTAAGACAGGCGCCCGTTTTGTCCAGTGTCAGCATCAATGGCCGAGATCTTGGCAACCAAATAGCCTGGCTCAGCCAAGCGGGAAACGGTTTCAGTTGCTGTTGAGCCATACTCGGGTAATGGGGACACGATCACTGGGGAGTTATCATTCTGGTCCAGGATAATGATATCCACTGACACGTTGCTGGCAAGTGGTGGCTTTCCATTGTCCCGCGCTTGAACGTGAAACTGAAAGCTTTTGAGTTGCTCGTAGTCAAAAGATCTCTGAGCAGCTACGACCCCGGTTTCGGAGTTAATACGAACATATGAAGATACAGACTCTCCCTCAACCCGTTTCTCTAAGATGGAGTAAGACAAACGCGCATTCTGGTTCACGTCCGGATCAGAAGCGGTCACAGAATAGATAGAAGCGCCAACAACATTGTTCTCGGTCACACGCGCTGTGTACGAATGCTGCGCAAATCGTGGCGCGTTGTCGTTCACATCAGAAACCTCCACCCGGATGTTTTTCTTGGAGGTGAGAGGAGGGGAACCACTGTCGCTGCACAAGACTGTAACTTCATACCTGGAGCTGTTTTCCCGATCTAACGGCTGCCCAGTGAGTAACCTGTAATAGTTCCGTAAGGAGGAGTCCAGTTTAAAGGGAAGGCGATGGGCTATTTTGCATTGCACCTGTCCATTTTCTCCCGAATCATTATCTGTTGCGCTGATCAACGCCACCACAGTCCCCGGCGGAGCGGCTTCGCTCACTGGACTGGACAAAGAGGTCAGGGTCACCTCCGGCGAGTTATCGTTCACGTCTGTAACATCCACCAGCACATCGCAGAGCGCCGGTATCGCGTTGGGTCCCTTATCCGTTGCTTCTACGTAAATCTTAAAAGCGCTGCTCTCTTCAAAATCCAGAGCGCCTTTTACTCTGATTTCACCACTTTTGGGATCTAAATCGAACACCTCACGGTCCCTGATGTTTGTGAGTTTGCTGAAAGAGTAAATTATCTCCCCATTAGAACCGTCGTCTAAATCTGAGGCGTTAAGTTGGATGACCAATGTTCCTCTCGGTATGTTCTCTGCCAGGCTGAGCCTGTAGAGGGACTGGGGGAAAACAGGCGAGTTGTCATTGGCATCTTGTACCACAATGACAATTTCAGCGGTGGCGGATCTCTGAGGGACCCCTCCATCCTTGGCGATCAACACTAACCTGTGAATGGGTTGCTTTTCTCGGTCTAGCGCATTCTCCAGCACCAGCACAGGCACACTCTCATCTCCGCTGCGCGTCTGCACATCGAGAGTGAAGAAATCATTCAAAACCAGTTGGTAGCTCTGTATGGAGTTGCTTCCAACATCTGGATCATAGGCAGACTCGAGCTGAAAGCTAGTTCCTGGTGCCGCCGCCTCAGAGATTTCTAAGCGAGACTGGCTGTTTTGGAAACTGGGCGCGTTGTCATTTACATCCAAAATCTCCACTTCTACATGGTATAAATTCAGGGGGTTGTGGAGCACGGCCTCGAAAGACAGAACACAAGCGACACTCGGCCCGCAGACCTGTTCCCTGTCGATTTTTTCCTTGATCAGCAAATTCCCATCGTCTAAATTCACCTCCAGATTCTGCTGCTGGGAACCCGAGACCATCCGCAGACCGCGAGCCGAGAGCTGCCTCACATCTAACCTCAAATCGCGTGCGATATTCCCAACAAAGGCCCCGCTTTGCAGCTCTTCGGGAATAGAGTAACGAACCTGTGCGATCGCTGGGTCCCACGGCAAGAGAATAAATTGCAATAGCCAGATAAACGACGGATACCTGTGAAAATAGACCATCGCCACCGTCCAACCCCTTTAATCAGTTGCGAAGCCGGACCCGCTGTATTGTTCTGTAAATCCAAGGAATAAAGTCGATTTGCATTCGTTAGTTTCCAGTGGAATGGCGTCCTGAGAGCAAACTACGTTTGCGGTATTTGGAGCCGCTGTTATAATAATAATATATGTTCATATTCCCAGCATTTAGCACCCACCACAGCTGCGGTATCGAACATAAGGTTACGCAGACTCCATTCTGGTTTGCACACAGGAAGTGAGTGAAGAAAAGGGGGCAGTGTGGATCACCACAAACCGTTCACAGCGCTCACTGGTGGATGCTGAACCAATCAAAAGAAACCACTTCCCTTAAAGCTGGATAGTCTTCGCAAAGCTCTGCGCCCGGTCTACATTTGCGGTTGTACACTTAAAAGAGCTTGTAAAATTATTTTTTTTCATGGGGGGAGATTACGGATTCGAACCCAGCAAGGTTAAGTTCTCAAACGGAATAATAGAAAACAAGGACATAGATGTGTTTCAATACGTCATTAGACAATGAGCTGCAAAGAAAAATAAATATATGAACATAATTATGTCTGATCTTTAATCGATGGAATCGAAATGGAATAATTTCTCCTGTGTTGTATGCTGTTTCCTCCCTGATTTCCTCCCTGACTGACATTCAACTCGGACAATCTCCAAATGTGGTGAATAACCGAGAAAGGGGTAGAAATAGTTATTCTTGAGGTCGGTTTACCATTGGCAGTTCCCCCAAAGCGCCATTGGGTGGGTTTGTTAAATCGACCATGAGAGTGTCCGATCAAAATAAGCACATGCCATTGATGTTAAGTGCAGCAACAATTAGTAGTACGGCTACAGATAGCATTTAGCTTCAACAGTAAATATTTATGGTTTGGTTCTAAGATAACACAAATTGCAAAACACAGCAACAGCCAAATAAATTTCCAAAGGTTTATTTATAAACTTGGTCTCTGGCGAACCAGAAATCGCATTCAAGCAGGGATACATTTAGTAGAATATTTACAATCCAAGAGAAAAAAAAAGTTATGGAAAACAAATCAATCACAAAAAAAAGGTGTACAGTTCCAACGGGCAAACAAGTCGCATATATTACACAGTCTTTTGCATGTAGTAATGACCACAATTATGTAAAAACAAGAGAGACAAAATGCCGTAGAACAACAATATTGTGTAGGAGATCGAGCCACAGACAGAAGAATCAGCATGGCAAGCTTCGCTCTTAATATGCATTTTGAATTCTTTTGGAATTATTTGGAATCCTTCCACAGATCACAACGCCGCTCTCAGCTGCGAAGAATTACAGCTGTTCTGATTATTCTGACGTTGTTATAGTTATGGTTGTTACGTGATAGAGGACAGTGAAGTCTGGCAACACGTCATGTGCTGCATTGAGATCTTTTCCCTGCAGTGTGCCGAACAGAACTGTACTGGTGCGTAAAGGTACACATAGACTCGCACAGGCTTTGCCGACTGCCTAAATCGACAGGTAATCGACAGCTTCGAAAATACATCCACACTCTCTGGAGGGTCTCGTGATCCCAAAAGTTTTTCTACTTATTTTCAGGGCGTGTTTAAATCTGATTGCTGCACCAGGAAGTCACATGCTTGTGAAAGATATCCTGGTGACATGCCAAGTAGCGGTTAGTATGCAGGATTCGGTTGGATCCTCCTCGAAAGGGTTTTTCGTTTCATTTTCATTGTCACTGCCGAAGGCTGAAGACTGCACGGCTCTTGCTCTGACGGGTATACCTTTCAAACGGTTGATGTAATGATTGTTGATGGCATTCACCAGATCCCGGAAGAAAAGGGAAAAGTGGCTAAATGTCTCTGTGGGTTCCCTCCTTATGTGTTTTGTGTAAAAAAAGAGGATCCGTTTACCTTAACTGTGTACTTATCGGGTCACCTCACCAGATATGTGACAAGAGCCCAACTTCTCAATGATCCTCGAATTACATACACTATTGGAACTTCTGCAAATGTTGAGGGCTACTGTTCTGACTTTGTATTGGCCACTGAGCAAGGACCTGAGGGACACAATACAAAAACAGAGCAGTTACTGAATGTACCACAAGTATCGTACGGGTTCTATACTGTGTAGACATCCGTGAAAGAAAGTTTGCCCATGATTACGCATAGAGAGGTTGATACAAATATCGAAGGTATGTCCTTTAAGTAGGAATGACTTATCGCAGCCATTAAATAATTAATCCTCGGGAAAATGTGAGCACACTCCTCCAGAATAAGTACTTATACTTCAGAGCATTCAGTCCGAGAGGATTTTTGGTCATGGTTTGCGGTGCTTTACATAAGTTTCGAGATAAACGGTACTGTCTGTTGGTGCTAAAAGGGTCAAGTTTCCAATCGATATTCTGCAAATATTAGCTGTTTAATATAAAGCCCATTCGGTATATATAGAAGCAAGATGCCATTTGTGAGCACATATTTTTCATGCATCGGAATGATAATCATATGAAATCACGAATATACCTACAATTCAGAGCCAAAGCCTAGAAACGGTAATGAGAGTCACGTGGTTACTATAATATTCAAGGCTACTAAATTTTAGAACTATCCATATTACACAACTTCCCACAAACCAAAGCACTACTGGGTAACGGTGCTGGAAGGTAAAGGTAGTTTAAATTGAAACAAACAGAGTGAAGACGCTGTTGGTAATAATAGCAGCCAATCACCCATTCAATAGCATCGATTATCTATTGCAATAATGTTGGAGACTGCCTGCGTTTATTCACCACATTTAGCTATTGTCTTGAATTGTATTCGAAGAAAGCAAATGAATGTATCGTGATTCTACAAGACCAAACATTCAAGTACGAACATTCATGCTGAAGAACACAAATCCAACTAGACTGACCAAGAATAGTTTCAGGAACTCAGGAAACTACCTGTTTCTCCATTATATCCAATAATATAACTCAAATGGACACCTTCACCTCTCCTCAAAATACAGAAAGTGTTGGTTCACAGAACACATTTCTTGCTTTGCGTTTAATTGTAACTAATAAGAATAAATTAAAAATTAGATTAAATAGATTTACAAATAATACGTTTCTGATGTGGATATTTGTTATCGTACCTTCACGAAATTACAGTAGACAGAAGGGTGCTTTGATTCTTTGCTATTTGAAGAAGTATAAGTCGTTGTTATTTATTTGCACTATCATTCATAAATGGCTAGTGAAAATTATAGCTTACTCCAGTTCACCTCACCTGATTGATTTCCGGCGCTGGCAAAGCATTTTCGGTACTGAACTGCTGAACACTTTCTGATGCTGCAGACGTATCGTTCTCGATATTGATCCACGGTACAACAGGGCTGTGCATCTTGAGGAAAAGAAAATCACTACTGGATAAATCCGAATTCGAACACTTGTCATAAGGAGTTTGACTGGCCACAGAGTTATCGAGCTGAAGGGATGATGCGTGACCATTGGTTGACTGGTGAGGGAGTTGAGCTTGAGTTACGGATATTGAATATGTCAATTTGGGAGGACAACATTTACCAGAGGAACAACAGCCAGGGTTGCGCCACACAGTGAAAACCAGGACAATAATAGCCAGCAGGAGAACAAGAGAAATCGATCCCAGCCACATAATTAAACTCAAAATTGTATCAGTGGAAAAATCGAAATATCCAATCGAGCTGCTTGCGCCAGATAGGGTGTCTGCAGCACTGTCCAACACTGTGACAGAGATTGTCAGTGTGGTAGAGAGGGCAGGTTTCCCGTGATCAGTCACCAGAATGCCCAGCATCAGTTTGGATGAATCTTTGGCATTGAATCGCCGAATTGTCCAGATTTCGCCGGTCTCGGGAGACACGGTGAACAGAGTCGCATCCGTTCTCCGAAGCAGGCGATAGGTGAGCCGTGCGTTTTCATGGGAATCCGAGTCAACCGCACTCACTTTGGACACCATGTAACCAGGGTCAGCCGACCTTGGCAACGTTTCTTCAACAAAGGTTGATCCTGTATTTGGCCAAGGTGATACTATCACTGGGGAATTGTCGTTCTGATCCAAGATAATTAAATCCACGGACACGTTGCTGCTGAGGGCTGGTGACCCGCCATCTTGGACGTGAACATGGAATTCAAGACTTTTCACGTGTTCGTAGTCAAACGAATGTTGCGCGTAAACGTCACCAGTCACTGAATTAATGGAAACCAACTTGAAGATGGGGGATTCTTTCGAGTCATTATTGTCCAGGATGGAATAGGTCAATCGAGCATTTTGATTTGAATCGGGATCAATGGCTTTCATTGAGTGGACCAAAGCGCCAATCGCATTGTTCTCCATCAAGTAGACTGTTTCAGGTGACTTCTCAAACCTCGGGGCGTTGTCATTGATGTCAGAAACCTCCACTAAGATGGTTTTGTTGGCGGAGAGAGAAGGGGAGCCCAAGTCCCACGCTGTGATTGTGATGTTATATTCAGAGACCAGTTCCCGATCCAATGGGCCATCAGTCATCAATTTGTAATAGCCCTGCAGAGTGGAGAACAGTTTGAAAGGAACGTTTTTGGCGATCTGGCACCACACCTGACCATTGTCCCCCAAGTCACGATCGGTGACACTGATGAGACCAACAGTAGCGCCCGGAAGTGCATCTTCTGGTACCATTGTTGTCACTGAGGTCAATATCACTTTCGGGGCGTTATCATTCACATCAGTGATGGTCACGAGAACTTTACATTGGGATGGACCAGAGCCCGGAAAATCCTTTGCTTGCACGTACAGCTCATAAAAATGGGCTGCTTCAAAATCCAGATTTGCTTTCACTCTGATCTCCCCCGTTTTGGAGTCTAGGTTGAAAGTCATGCGAACTTTATCTGCTGTACTGCTCGAGTAGGAATAAACCACTTCACCGTTTGAACCTTCATCCAAATCGGTGGCATTTAACTTAGTTACCATTGTACCCAATGGGACGTTTTCTCTCAGACTGACCTTGTACACCGACTGATCAAATACCGGCACATTGTCATTAACGTCAAGGATTTGGATGATAATTTGAACGGTGCCGGATCTTGCTGGGGTCCCACCATCAATGGCAGTCAACAGTAACTGATGGACATGAACCCTCTCCCGATCTAGAGGCTTCTCCAGCAATAATTCCGGGAAAACATTCCCATCCGCCAGTGTCTGTACATCCAGAGCGAAGTGCTTGTGCTTGTTGAGCTGGTAGATGTGCACCGTATTCGGACCCACATCCGGATCGTGAGCCCACTCGAGCGGAAAGCGAGTCCCAGGTAAAGCCGATTCGAGAATGTTCAACCGGACCTGTCTCTTTGGGAAAATGGGCGGATTGTCATTCACGTCCAGAATCTCCACTTCAACGCGATACAATTCCAGAGGGTTTTGAGCGATCGCATCAAGGTGTACAACACAGCTGTGCATCGGTCCGCACAGCTCCTCTCTATCCAGTCGTCCATATACAGATAAAATCCCGGTTTCCGTGTCAACGCTGAAATATTGCTTTCCGGATCCGGACACCGCGCTCAATCTGAGGCTGGACAGTGTCGCCACGTCCAGCCCCAAATCGGCAGCGATGTTTGCAACAAAGGAACCATTTCCCAGTTCTTCGGGAATCGAATAGTTGAATTGCCCGCCAACCAGGATCCTCACAAGTGAGAAGAATGAAGGCAACACTTGCCATTTTACCATCCAAAGTCGTTTCCGGTGCTCCGTTTCCATCGCCAAAAAGCAAGGTAAATATTTTAACCAAGGCGAGCTATACAGTTGGATAATTGTCAGTGTTATATGTAACCTGTCATATTTCCATTATTCAGTGAATAAAACGAACTCGACATGAGAGACCCTTGTTCTAATCGCTGACTCTGTTTTCAGGAACATACAGGTCAATCCGTCCACCGTGTGTAAAAAAAAACCAATAGCGTCCTGGTTGCAATCTGATGTTCACAGTATTCGGTCTGGGTCGGGATGGGATGAGTCTGGGGACCCAACTCAGGACCTCATTGGTGCACAGTGACACGAAGTGTTTGGCCCAATAACAACACGCAGCGTTTCTTAAAGCGACATTGTCCAGCTTCAGCTAAATTGGTACTCTGGTTATATTGTTGTTTGTTCGGTGAAATGATCCTTTTTGTTTTTATTTTTCAACTTTTTTTTAGTTCGTGGGCGTAAAGGAACGTAAAATGAATCTTTTTGCAATGGAGAAAAAGGGATTAATATAATTTATTTGCCGAAATTGCCCCGAAACTCAGATTCCTATCCTGAAACAAAATTAATGTTTCGCAGTGTACCGAAATGTAAATATGTGTAGGTTATCACTCTGGTTGGAATATCAAAGCGACGTCTTAACTACAATTTGTGCGTCAGATTAGGAACATAGGAATAGGTCTTTCAGTCCCTCAAACCTGTTCCGCCATTTTATTAGATCATGGTTGTTCTGGACCTCAGCTCAATTTACCCGCATTTTCTCCATCCCTTGATACCCTCACCTAAGAAAAATCTATCCACTTCAGCCTTGAAACTTACACAACTTTGACTGAACCCCTGTGAAGTATAGTGAACATTTGAGTTTTTATCACGAATGAGCTTTACAGAGCAGTCGAGGAAAAATAATAAGAGGAACAAATGACCATGAGAAAATTAAAAAGAACAACAATATTTCTGGAAGCCTAAGTTTGGCTGTAAAACACCAGCGCACAATTGCTTTGGCAATACTGCTTGCCACCTGCAAACATCAATTACTAGATACCCAATTCTAGCTATTTCCGTTTATTGTATTATAATTAAATCTCGCAACTGTAGTGAATTGCATTCAGTACTGGTATGTTGCTCCTGGGAGCTGTCAAATTTTAGTTTTGACTGAATTTCATCTTAAGTACAACCACAGTGATGATGGATAATTGAGGACAGCGATGCACAATGCAGGATACGTTCAGAGACTGTTTGCCAGCTCGTGGATATTGTAACAACCAGAGACAAGATCAATTAATATATAATACTAAGTGATTCTGGGATTAAAGCCATTCAGATTGTAACAATAGACCGGTTCTCTAAAAGTTTGGAAAATTTAAAAATCCAATACTGGATGCTAATGAAATGTAATGAAGCCGCCGTTTATTTATTTGTTCTCGTAAACAAACTGTTTATGTTAACATTTTAATCAAAAGATCTTATATTTTCAACGATGTTATGTTGGACTCAATACAGACTGAATTTGGAACACATATGGTAAGTTATCGTTTGGGGCTGTCAGCGTCTGGTCACCAGATAGAATTCATGTTTACAGCAGCTGGTACTGAATTTTATAAAGACAGAAGATAAATCATAGATTCGATCACGTTCAAAGTATTTTGAAATAACCCAAAAAGTGGCATTTTCATTCATAATCTAATCATGCAATTCCTAAACTCTCAATGATCGTCTGTGACTTTAAAATTGAATACTTTCGCTTGAGTAATTTAGTCAAATCGTCAAATTAGAAGAGTCAGTTTAATCCGTTATAGTGTATATACATTCAGGGAAACTTTAAGCTGTTTTTTATATCTCTGGTCTCACCTCACGGAATTCAGTGGCTGCAGAATTTGATGCCTTCCCAGTGTCTCCCGTCATACAAGTTCCGGTCTTGACATTAATCATAGGGGCAGCAGACCCGTACAGCTTTAGAAACATTAAATCATTCATGGGCAAGTCTGAGGTTGGACACACACTGTGACGTAATGTTTGAGCGAAAGCTTCGCTTTCGTACACCTCCGGGTAATTTGGTGGCATTTGCAGATTGATACTCGCCTTTTGAATTCCATGCGGCGAATTTCTTTGCGCACAGCAGAATACCGTGCCAAAAGAACTCCTGTAATCCCCAGTACCATTCCTACCCCTATGCACCTTAATGGCGAGGATAATTATAACCACGAGAAAAATAAGTGAGATTGTGCCAAAAGATATGATTAAATACAATCTTAAATTAGTGGTCCACAGGTCCGAGTTTCCCAACACGGTGGTATCGGATAGATGTTCTGTTCCCCCATTTAGCACTGCCACGTTGATGGTGACTGTAGATGATAAGGGTGGCTTTCCGTTGTCCCTGACCAGGACCACAAGCTTCTGCTGGAGAGAATCTTTATTGCCAAAGTTTCGGATGGACCAGATTTCTCCCGTTTGTGGAGCCACAGTAAAGAGACTTGTATCGGTTGGATGAAGAAGGCGGTATGTGAGTTGGGCGTTTCCCCCGGAATCTGCATCTGTAGCTGTAACTTTAGTTACCAGATAACCTGGATCAGAGGCCCAAGGCATCGACTCCTCTGCTGGAAATTGTTGGCTTGAGGGAGGTGATACGATGACCGGGATATTATCATTCTGATCTCTGATGATCACATTCACGGTGGCGTTACTGCTGAGAGGAGGGGATCCGCCATCTCTGACTTGTATGTTGACGGGAAAATTCTTGAGGCGCTCATAGTCAAAGGAGCGTTGCGCTGACATGATTCCACTGTCTGGATGGAGGAGGACGAGTGAGGACGCAGGTATTCCCTGGGTGGTGCTGTCCAGAATAGAGTACGACAGCTTGCCATTCTCACTGAAATCTGGGTCGCAAGCGGATACCGAGCCAATGGATGTATCGACGGCGTTGTTTTCCATCACGTACATGGTAAACACTGGCTGCGTAAAGCGTGGCGCGTTATCGTTTGTATCGGAAACCTGAACCCCGATGGTTTGGTTGGCGGACAGAGGAGGGAATCCGCCATCCCTGCATATTATGGTGACATTGTAGTCGGCCACCTTTTCCCGATCAAGGGGACCATTGATAACCACTGTGTAATAGTTATTAAAAGAGCTTTCAAGCTTAAAGGGGATGTTTGGGGTAATGTGACAATAAACATTCCCTCTCTCTTCAGAATCTCTGTCTGTTACTTTCAAAAGAGCGACTACAGTTCCTATAGGCGCGTCCTCTTGGATAGGATCGGAAAGCGAGTTTAGCAATATCTCCGGGAGTGTTATCATTAACATCAGTGATCTTTACCAGAACTTTACTGTACACTGGCTCCGAAAATAGACCCATGTCTTTAGCTTGCACTGAAATGTCGTAATCCTCGGCTTGTTCAAAGTCTATTGCGCCAGTTACAGTGATCGCTCCGGTTTGAGAGTCCAAATTGAACAGTTTACGCACTCTATCGGCCGTGTAATCGCCAAAGGAATAGATTACCTGACCGTTTGGGCCTTCATCCACGTCTCTTGCATTCACTTTCACTATTAAATAGCCTTTCGGCACGTTTTCTGCTGTGGTGACCTGATAGACGCTCCGATCGAAAACAGGCGCGTTGTCGTTGACATCAAAGACGCTGATAACGATTCGGGTGCTCCCGGATCTTTCTGGGATCCCTCCATCAACTGCAGTGAGCGTCAATTGATGAATCTGCTGTTCCTCTCTGTCCAACGGCTGTTGAAGGACTAACTCCGGGATGACACTCTGTTCGCTATCAGTCTGTAGCTCCAAATAGAAGTGCTCATTGTCGCTAAGTTGATAGGCGCGGACTCGGTTGGTCCCTGAGTCCGGGTCGTGCGCTTTCTGGAGCCTAAAGCGAGCTCCCGGTGAAGCCGTTTCCGAGATTTCTAACCGAAACTCGCTGCCTTGAAATGCCGGCGAGTTGTCATTCACGTCCACAATCTCAACCTCAACACGGTATAGATTGAGGGGATTTTCAACCACGGCCTCCATCTTCAACACACACTTTGCGAGGCTTTGTTCACAGAGCCGCTCCCGGTCTATTTTCTCACTCACGAACAACGTCCCCTTTTCTACATTCACATCCAGGTATTGCTTCCCGTGGTCGGCGACAATCCGGAACCTGCGAGCGATCAGCCCTTTCACGTTCAATCCCAAATCTTTCGCGATATTTCCCACAAAGGCCCCACGGTCTAATTCTTCGGGAATCGAATAACGGATGTCTCCACAAACACAATCCGCAACGTAGACGAGTATTAAACACAGGGTTTGCCATCGTGACACCCGTTGATCTTTCGAGCCAGACATTTCTGGAACAAAGTCCTAAACAAGAAGCGCCGATAAAAGGGCACGATGATTACTTGTGTATCAATAACGTTGTGGTTCATTACCTTCCTCTTCCAGAATAATGCAAGGCCGAGCTGTTTTGGTCATAGTCGCTAGAAATAATTGTACAAATCTCCTTAGGTGGAGGCCCTTCCTCAGAGTTGAATGGAAAACCTGGAATAATAATGAGCACTGATTCTGCGCAGAGGGTGGCGATGGAAAGGGGGAGTGATAAGGGATCGCAGGCCATATTTCTTCACCTGATTGGTCGTTAGTGACACAAAGCGACTGACCAATAATCAAATCAACTCTTCTTAAAGCAATACTGCCTCTTTTGAATAGAGTACTACTATTTACACTTAATGTTGTGCAATTTTAATTGATGAATTCATATTTCTATTATTAATTTCCTTACGTCATTTATCAAAAATGTGATGCAGTTAAATAACTGGGAGGGCTCTGGGCTCTATATTGAGGAATATAAAAGCAAGGATGTGCTGTAACAAGTTGTGTGGAGTCTGACATGGAGTACTGTTTCCGGTTTTGAGCTCCCCCACCTTAGAAGGTTGCTCACTGGCTTGGCAGAGTGTTAACTGAAGATTCCCCCATATTATTACTTGTCATGAATAAATGTTTAGATACAAGTGGAATAACTTCCCGAGATTGAATGGAATAGAATAATAGACACAGGCACGCTCCCCCCCCCCCCCCGCCCCCACACCCACCCCTCCTCCCCCCACCCCCCATACACACACCACTCACTGCCACAGACCTCCCTTGCACTGCCAGAGGCGCCCTACAATGCCATTACACCACCTCCACTCTGCTGTCAAAGGCCACACCCCCCCCACCCCCCCCACACCCACCCCCGCATTGCCACAGACCCCTTCATGCACTGCCTAGCAAAATTGTGGATCAGAAAAGGATAATCGTATTGAAGTTTTTTTTCAAATAAAGAGAGATAGGCAAACTAGATATTGACGACACTTCACTCCAATGGAGGGATCTAAAATAATAGGACATTGTGTTAACGTTTTAGCGAGGTTATGTAATAAGATCAGAAGACACATCTTCACATAAAGGATACACCAGAAGGTTAAGATTGGACCAGGGTGTTTAAAAGGAAGATAGATCAATACTTGTTGCATGGTAACACCTCCAAATAGTTTCACGGTTAATGTTACCCGATTCTGTGTTCAAGTTGAAACGCATCAGTTTAGTGAATTTTAAGGTCAGTGACAGGTTGATCCGGTGAGCAATGTTCTGTCAGTGAAGTTGTTCAGAATTATTTCAATTTACAAATGAGAACACATTTTTTATATTTGCACCGAATCATTCCCACCTCGACTCAGATATAATTATGCAGCTACCAGCAGAAAACGGTATAAAATCTAACCTGAAATAGTTAATGCAATATGACAAGCAAAGGTATTGAGATCTAATTCGTCAGAAATTTAATAGTAAATATTCCCACCAGCTGTGGCCCGATCAGAATACGAACATTAAACATATAGTATTTGGCATTGTAATATCTAGCACTCTCTTAAACAAATTATCCTTCAAAAACGAACGGTGCAAGTTTGTGCTGTGATATAATCATTGCCAAGGCATAATATTACATCTAGAGGCGTACTTTTTTTTATTACTTTCATTTCCAAAATATATTGTATCCCGAGAAGCGCTTTTTGTTGCTGAATCGCGAAATTTAATCCACAAATTTTATCTTTAAGATTTCTAATATTATCTGGTGTCGAAATATTGCAATACAACCTAAGTCTTCGATCCTCGTCTGATGATAATAGACGCCACTTAAGATTCTAAAATGTTGGTCTTATTTATTCATTTAAATCCAGAATATCGAACAGTGGCTCGTGGGTACATAACAAATGCAAAACAAACACTTGACTGTTGCGCGAGTTAAATCCTCTTTTTCACTTAATATTAAACCACGTTCTGAGGTGTATCTCAATGTACACTCCGATAGATCCATCTGCCTGAAACATATCGGGGCGTCTTGCCCCAGAGCTTTCAGACGTCTTCCAGCCGTAGAACACGCCCCATTAATATAAATTTGTTGCTGCCGTGACGTTGCAGTACGGTACATTAATGAAAATCCTGGAATTTTCTTCAGTTGGTATGTATTTTTTTATTCAAAATAATTCCAATCTATGCAATCCGTTTTCATTTCAATTTCAATTCCACTGCCCCCATCGTTGATTCATTGATCAGGTGCAATTTTTATTGACAAGATGTTTGGCTCAAATCTGCAGAACAGAATTTCGGGCCGATGTGACACCGTAGATATGCCACCGTAGATGATATGTAATTCGTGTACATTATGTTATTCAGTGTTGTACAACTTTATGAAATTATATCTGAGGTCAAGTATACTTGCAAAGTTTAGATATTTGTTTTACCGATATAATGCATTGTGTCATTTTGCGTTGCTACACTGTCCATTACAAATAGTTTCACATTTTCTACTCAAGCGACCAATTATATTAATTATTAATTTATCTGAAAACTATATACTGGACCTGACAAGTGTCGCAATGTATTAAATAGCATGGATATATACAGAGGAGATATTTGTTTAACTATAGAATCGTCTCTACCCTTTCAGCACAGCTGACACACAATCATTGCACATGATAAATGCTATATTAAATATATCGAGTCAGTAAAATTATAATCATCAATGGAGTAGGGCAAAAAGAACAGTTTAATTTCTCGCTTTGAACCATGTGATCATTTTAAAGCATGTGGATATGAATGTCCAAATAATTCCGGAAATGCCCTCTGCTTGAAGGGACCAAGAAAGGACAAAATGGCTTAAAAAAAGTCTTAACCCCCATCATATTTATTTTAGAAGCGAATAAAGATTGGAAATTGAAAAGCATATCGTTAAAGCCTTGAGTGATTGAGATATTGTGCTATATGAAACACTGGTACAATTTACCAGTAGATTTTGGATTGACCTGTGGCTAAAATGTGAATCATAAATCTATGCAATAATGTACCTCCTGAGCGCTAACCTTTAATCTTCAGATAAACCGGGTTAGTACATTGTTACTTCTGGAAATACCGCCCTAGCCTGTGATCTTAACTCAAACATGAAATAGTTATTTCAAACAACAACAATGTGCTTCACAATTCAGGAAAGATATTCATTTCAATACTACACATCATAAAACGTTGAAATGATGAAGGAAAGTTACCCCCAGTTTCAAGTTGAATTTACCTATCACAGAACTATTGACTTAATTGGTGAATTTCTGACGCAATGAGACAATGTTGAACGGGAAATGATGGAAAAATCACTAAAACCAATATTTCCATTCTTCCACTCTATTCCCGAGACAAACAATCAACAGGTGGAGACCATTTCTCTACCCTATTCCCTCAACCCCCCTCCCCCCCACTCCACCCCCTCCCCCGCCACCCTCCCCCTCATCCATGCTGTTTGGAAACTTCTGATTCCATTATTTCATTGTTAAAAGGTTTACAATGTGCCATAAAACAATTTTCAATTTGTACATGGAAACAAAGAATAGCTGCGCTGCGCCTCACATGGTTAATGCGTAAGACTTGTTGGCGGCACAGATTTTTGTTTCACTCATTTTAAAATTCCCTAACTCTGCCACCATTCGGCGCGCTGTGTCTCATCCTCGCCGACCACCTCTCTAACTCGTGCTAGTATCTGCGAAACCCTGCTTGGATAAATAGCTGTGCCGCACTTTGCATTCCAACTTATTTTGCAGCGTCGAACGAGAGCATTTCATTCTTTGGCGTTTATCAGAATATCCCGCAGTCCCCCCGCCTCGCCCCCTCCCTCGCCTCATTCAAGACCCATCTCAAGACCCTCCTCTTCGTCCGTGCTTTCGACCACCCTGTTCCCCCCCCTCCCCAACCCCCCACCCTCCACTTCCCTTCCACCCTCCCCAACCCCGACCCCCAGCTCGGGTCCGAAACTCTGACTGTCCAGCGCTACACAAATGTAATTTTGACGTTGTTGTTCTTGTTGTTATCAGCAGCCCAACGCAATGCCTTACGACGATTCACTATTTGTAAGGAGGCGGCTCATGAGGACAATAGACTTTCTCGTGTTACAGTATCATGGAAAGAATTGGGCCACATAAAATTTGCAGATGTTCTAATCAAAGAAAGTCAACTGGGTCTTTGCAAAGACCACACATTGTACATATTCAAAATGGTTTCAATGGCAGAAACATGTTTTCGTAATGCAATTCTTCCATTTACCCTCTTCCTCATGGAAACTCTGGTCTGTTTAACACCGCAGTATTTCACAGAATGTCATTAAAATGATAGATGATGGAAGCGAACCCAAATGTCTTAGCAATTCAAGGGAAATCTGGTACTCCGAGGATTAATTAAATGTTATTTTAGCGATTAACATTACCCATGCATAATGTATAAAGTAGAGGTTATGAACGCACCCAAAGGCAAGTCATAAAGTTAAGAATCGGCTTGGCTCATGGTAATGCAATCAGGAACACTTGCAAAGGTACATTTAACATGTAAACTCCATGTTAATTAATCATTTTTAAAAAAGTTCTAAGCAAACAAAATCACAAGTGCGCTCACGTCTCACCTGATTGGATGGAGGCCTATCCGACTCTACTTTGCGAGATTCAACAGCTTTGTGGTTGATCTTTGTAGGTGACAGACAGTTGTTCAGAGGTTTTGTGGCCTGCTTCTCCCACGCGGTCTCCCGTGGGTCGGTATTGTTCCTATTTTTGTCGCCTGGTGCCGCAGGACTGAATGGTTTGAGAAAAGTAAAATCACTCTTGGCGGATTCAGGAGTCAGGCACACCTTGTAATAGTAGGTACAAGGAAGGCGCCCACTCCCCCCAACCTCCAAAAACTCAGGAGGCACTTTCGAGTTTGTGGTCACTTGAAGGTTGAGTTTCGACGTTTTCAAGATATCAGTTGAATTAACTCGCTGGAGACACCGGCAATGTCCCAGGGGACAGCTGTAATCGTGGACATTATTTCTGCATTGGTGACATTTGGTGGCAGCCACGATAATGATGGCCAGGAGGAAGATGAATGAAATGGACCCCAGGATGATAATTAAGTAGAACGTAAGGTCGGATTTGTGCTCTGCTTTGGGAGACAAGTCACTGACGTCGTCGGGCACAGGTTCCGTAATGCTGTCCACGATTGAAAAGATGATGGTAACAGAGGCCGAAAGTGGAGGTTGTCCGTTGTCTTTCACAAGGATCAGCAACGTTTGCTTGGGGGCCTCCTTGTCCCCAAAGCGTCTCGTTGTCCTGACTTCTCCTGTGTACAGCGCCACGTTAAACAGCGTCGAATCCGTGGCTTGGAGCAACTGATAAGAGAGCCTTGCGTTCTTGCCCGAATCGGCATCAGCAGCGTTGACTTTGGTCAACAGGTGACCGGGGTCTACAGATCGAGGGACCATCTCCAACGCAGCGGAACCATTGTTGGGTTGGGGGGACAAGATGACCGGAGCATTGTCGTTCTGATCCAATATAATGACGTTCACATGCGCTTTGCCACTGAGTGGTGGGAACCCGGCATCTTGGGCTTGGATCTCGATCTGAAACCCTTTGAGTTGTTCGTAGTCGAAGGATCTTAGCGCGTAAATGTTGCCGTTGTCAGAGTTGATGGACACGTAGGTTCTGGAAGACAACCCTTGGATGGACTTATCTAGGATGGAATAGGACAAGTAGGAGTTTTGATTCAAATCGGGATCAAGTGCAGACACGGAGCAAACAGCGGCGCCAGGGGCATTATTTTCCATAATATAAACTGTATAGGAAGGTTTGGTGAACGTTGGAACATTGTCATTCACATCTGAGACCTTTAGGGCAATGGATGTTTGGGTGGATAGGGAAGGGATTCCCAAGTCAGTGGCTGTAATTGTGATGTTGTACTCAGAGACACGCTCTCGGTCGAGAAGATCAGCGGTTACTAGTGTGTAATAGTTCTTGAAGGAGGTTTGGAGCCGAAATGGAAGGTTCTGGGTGATCCTACAGTTTATTTGCCCGTTCTTACCCGAGTCTTGGTCTGTCACGCTGATGAGAGCTATCACTGTCCCGGGTGTAGCATCTTCCTGCACAGGGCTGGACAGAGAGGTCAAGATTACTTCTGGGGCATTATCATTGGCATCAATTATCTCCACTAGGACCTTGCAATGGACGGGAATTGCATATGAGCCGCCCTTATCTTTGGCTTGCACATAAATCTCATAAACAGTTGCTTCCTCGTAGTCAACAATGCCCTTGACTCTAATTTCACCTGTATTGGGATCCACACTGAAGAGTCGGTGCACACTAGGCGGAGTATGACTGCTGAAAGAATATACTATTTCACTGTTGGAACCTTCGTCCAGATCACTGGCGCTGAGTTTCAAGACTAGCGTGCCTTTGGGTGTGTTTTCTAGCAAGCTAACTTTGTAAACGGACTGTTCGAAGACAGGCACGTTGTCATTGGCGTCCAGGACAACAATACTGACCAGAACCGTGCCAGACTTCACCGGGATCCCACCGTCAATGGCGGTCAGGATCAGATGGTGACTGCGCTGTTGCTCCCGGTCCAGCCGATTCTCCAGCACCAGTTCCGCAAATTTGCTGCGGTCGCTGCGCGTTTCTACATCCAGGATGAAGTGTTCATTGGGACTGAGCCGGTAGGTGCGGACGGAGTTGGTACCCACATCTGGATCTTGCGCGCTCTCCAGGGGGAAGCGAGTCCCGGGCGAAGCCGATTCTATGATCTCCAAATCGAGCTCCTTCCTCAGGAAAACCGGGGAATTGTCATTGACATCCAGAATCTCCACCTCGATTCGGTAAAGCTCCAGCGGATTTTCGATGACCACCTCCAAGTGCAGAAAACAGGTAACTCCTTCGCCACACAGTAGCTCTCTGTCTATCTTTTCATTGACAAACAAGATACCGTTGCCTAAATTCACCTCCAGGTATTGTTTGGTAGCGCCAGAAACGATGCGCAGCCTTCGGGCTGAGAGTTTATTGATATCCAGACCCAAATCGTCAGCAATGTTCCCCACAAAAGCGCCGTGTTTCAACTCTTCGGGAATCGAATAGCGGATCTGGCCAGAAATCAAGTCACCGATACAGGATACAGCGATAAAGCACACCACTTGCCTGGCTAGTGTCCCCCGTCTCCTTCCAGTAAACATTCCACCGCAGGTGAGGGGGGAAATATTCCAGCGTTCTCGTGAGTATTGATCGGAGAGGGGACAGATATTATTGACCGGTAGCTAAACACTTTTGGGGGAAGTTCCCGCGTGTTGGGAAACACGTTCAGCTCTTCGGATTCCTTGCAAGGGTCTACGCTGCCTGAGAAATGATCAATCTGGGGTGGTGGGGGAGCATTCCGGCAATCTCTTTGGAGCGCCGTTCTCAATCTGCTCTCCAAGGCTTGGACCCAGGAAGGAATGTAATGCTATCTGTAACGCCGATTTGTACTTTAATTAGGCTGGAGCGTGCGCCTGTGTGTGTGTGTGTGTGTGTGTGTGTGTGTGTGTGGAGCTGGTTTGGTTTGTGTGTGGCTGTGTAGGGGTTGTGAAGCGCCGCACACATTTCAGCACTGAATAGCGGACAGCAGCTGCGAGACACTCAACGCGTAACAGTTTATTGCAAACAGAGATGCAGCTTCTCTTAAGAAACCGCCCGCCACCCCCCAAACAACCCCCCGCCACCTCCCCACCCACCCCCCCCCCCCAACCACCCCCTCACCCAACAACAACACATAGAGAGATAGGTAGAGAGATATCACTATTCTGGTTTATGCTTTGCAGTAGTTTAAATTGAGAAAGTAATGTTTTGCTCTGCAGTGCACACGACGTGTAACAAAGCATCAGAATATCCAATGTTGAAGTGTTTCTCAACATCTTTTGTGCCTTTCTCGTCCTAATTAGAATTGCTGCCCCTCTCCTCCCCCCTCTCGCTCTCTCTCTCTCTCCTTCTCCCTCTCTCACCCTCTCTTTCATACTGAATGCCCGCTGAGAATGTTCTTGTGCTGAAATGCACACTGAATCTGACAGGTTCTTGCTGCTGGTGTTCTTGTAGAAAAATAAAAGGAAGAATTTCAAAGTGCTTTGAAATTCAAACTTTTCATCAATCAATAAGTGCTATTCAGCTTGTACAACACATTACCCAAAGCGAAATTATTATATAGCTATTAAACTGCCAATGTTCTTTCTGCATGTTCGGCAGTATTCTGAATATATGTATATGTGTGTGTGTATGTGTGTGTGTGTTTTCTCGGAGTCAACTTATTAAACTCATTATTGTGCACTCGCGTGAAAATTGCCTCCCGGAATTCTTAGCGAATGTCCAAACTTAATGAGCCTTGGAATATTTTTCATCCGACCTTTGGCAGAATTCCCGGAGGGGGGAGAATTAATTCTGCACTCAGTACTGGATAATAAGCAAAGGAAACAAAGTCATTCCTTAAGTACGCCTATTGCTTTTTTATCATTTCGCCTCACAGTTTTATATATATTAAAACGTACATTTATGGCCTGGATTACCCATTTGTGGTTGGTTGAAATTTATGTTGATGGGATTCCGCTGTGTTATCTTATAAATAAAAGACGATCTAAGCAGCAAGCAATGAGGCCTTTGAAGAGGGAAATGCAGATTGAGGGCTCATTTCTCAGTCAATAATGCTCATCGGGAGTTGTAAGCAGTGGTGAGGTGGTGGAGGTTCTAACCGCAAAAAGAGAAGCAAAGAGCAATCTAATTAAAACACGTAGTAATGTGTTTATTTCTTTGGAGAGACGAAGATGGGAAAAAAAGCCATTAAAACTTAACCTAAAATAGGTTGTTGTCACTAAGAAGGAATGAATGACTCGCAGCCTGGTCGCCAAGTGAGATGCATCTGCAAACGGTAACCCAAATTATTTTTGAGTTATTTGAAATGTTTGGATCTAAATGAAATGTGCATATCTGTGGTATCCAATTTGTGAGGTCATTGTGTTTTACAGTAATAGTATTCAACGGTACATTTGCCGTCGACAAACTGAAAGGCTTCATAAACTGTGTCGAATAAATAAAACTTTCTGTGCACTTTTTGTAATTAGTCGAGCAAACTTTGGTCCTAAAATCTGAACTTGGTTTAAAATTAATATGATTTCCCGGGAGAATGAAAGTTTTACCTTGCACAACACAGATTGGTAAATATCGCTACAAAGTCATTGGAGACATTTGATAACAATATGACTTCATGCAATGAATTAATGCTGTAAACTAATTCATTGCACTTAAAACATTTTCTCCTAATATGTCCCAGTTGTGCTATAACTCTTTTGCCAGATAGGGAGGGTTTAAACAGAAATAATCCTGCTATCTCTTTTCAAACCCCTTCAATTTTAACAAACATAACTCCTGTGAAAACTCTTAGGAGGAACATGAATGTTTATTAGATACACCTCAGGAATAAATTCTGCAGAAGGATTTTCGCCCGGTTGCCAAGGAAACGGAGTGTCTGACTCCTTGCTCTTTGAATCCTAACATAAAGTCTGAGGCACAGGTTGGTATTTGATCAAAATTGTTTTTGATTGGGCATTGCCAAGAGAGAAGTTAGGTGTGCACGTATGATAAAAGGAAAAAAAGTTTGCCACTGACCACGTCTTGAGGCTAAGAGTGAAACAATCGAAGCAAAATATTCTATTCCTACAAGTAGAATTATTCAAGTTTGAAGTGGAGCTAAAATTAGTCAAGAATATCTATAACAAGTAGTAATTTCTGGAGATTACCTCAACACACAACCCCCCCCAACCCCGTGCTTGTGATTTATTCTGTGATGTGCAAATAAATCTTCCTTTCTATCTTTGCAATGGACTTTGAGTGCAAAGCCAATTGAATTTGTTGATTGCATCAAGGGGAATTGATTGTTTCATTCACAGTCTTACCACACACTCATATGGTGATATCTACAAAAGGAATTATATCTTCCTTCTCTCCCCAGTCCAATCCATAGCACAAGGTTGAGGTTAGTTATAGTAGTAGCTACTGAATGTCACATATTATAAACACATGGTTCTTTGAAAGGTCAAGGTATTTTGAAATGTCTTTTCAAATGAAATGTTCCATGCAGTATTACAGTAATGAAACAGCTTAATAGGGATTCAGTGGATATGTATTTAATGCTAACTACTTGTATCACATTCATGGCGAAGGGATTTTATTGTTGTAGAACTACTTTCACAGAAAATAGGGACAATTTAGAACACACTGCCTGAAAAGGTGATGGAAGTAGATTCAATAATAACTTTCAAAAGGGTATTGGATATATACTTGGAAAGAAATTGCAGGGCTATGGGGAAAGAGCGGTTGAGTGGGACTAATTGGATAGCTCTTTCAAAGAGCTAGCACATGCACAATAGGCCGAATGACCACCTTCTGTGCAATAATATTCTATGATTCTGTAACTACAGGCATATTCTATGAAGTGAATGGTTTGCATTCTGTGTAATCATACACATATTGTGGAATTATCAATTTCCTCTAGATTCAGGATGAAATCACACTTTGGGGAAAGTATCATCAAATGAAAATTGTAGGTAAATTGCATTTAGAGATTGAGTTTTGTTTTACTGGGTCTGTGCTAAACGGCAAAAATAGCAAATCCACTCTGAAATATCTGAAGTTGCGAAACAAAACAATATTGAAAGGTCTATTGGGAGAGGAATTGCTTCATCTTGACAGAAAGTAATACAATGTGGAAGTTGTGGGATAAGTCCACCAGCAACGGATTGGCAGCTGATCAAGTTAACAATAACAATGATAAAACATGAAAAGAAAAATGTGCAATGAATCCCATCAGTTCTTTCAGGGGGCAGCTGCAGCTTTTGCTGGAAATTGGTGCAAAACTATCACCCTTTACATCAGCTTGTTAACGGTTAATGTTCTTACACTTATGGCAAGTTGTAGCACAGAAGTCTCCTTCAAGGCTGAACAGGGGTTGACTGTTCAACCCCACTCTTTCTCCCATTCATGGTATATAGAATGCTGAAATGACACTTTATTCTTGAAAAAAAAGACAACAATGAACACGTTTAATGAATTTATTATATTTTCTTTTCACTCACAATTTTGTCTGGTTACAAACTATTTAAAGAAATACTTAATTAATGTATTTACATGGGAATTTTTATATTAAAAAATGTTAAATACAAACTGGTGTTCGTTTATGAGCAGTTATCATTCAAGAAGTCAGATCATTTCAGTTTCAAAATTTCTGCTGCATGTTTTATCATTCAGATTTATATATGCATAATACACTTTATTTTAGTAAATGATTGCTGATTTGAATGCTAACACACATAAAATAACAGCACAATACTTATTCTATAAGCAAATTTGTGGACTAAATGTTTAACCTGGAAAGAAAGTTAAAACAACTGCAAACGTGACTTAAACAAGTAATTATTCAACACTATCCAAGTATTTTTATCGTATTATTACATTATTGAATGGAGCAAACTAAAAACAAAAATAAACAATATTAAAATAAAATAATCCAAGGTTTATATATTTTGCTTTTTCAGTTAAGATACTCTACCAATAATAAACATATCTTGGGAACATCAATTCCCTTCCTATGTTTATTCCCCTTCTCTCCTGAAAGCACACAATCAGGTCATGGTATGCAGTTCCAGAGTTAGAAGCCACCCTTTGGATTGCTCTTTATGGTTTGAGATAGGATCTTGAATGTCAGCAAGACAGTAAGACTCTTGAGTTTGGGAGGAGTTTGGGGAATAGGGAAATCACAGCTATTTCAGGTCATGTATTGGCCCAGATTCAAACGAAGCACTTTTCAAAAGGCCACTGCATGGCAACTGGGAGGAAACCCAAGTGGACTGAGGGCAACTCTTACTGTTACCCCAAAGCAATCAGCGTATCAGCATATAGCAATATGTTATAGTCCAGTCCCATACTAATATCATTTGCCAAGTAAATCTAGGCCTGGAATAGGAAAGGACACCCGGAAGTATGGCAAGAATGTACCTTCTGTAATTTTAAACAACTTGGTTTGGAATTTTTACAAACCCTATCTCATCAATTCACCCTGAAATAAGTATTCCATCAGCTATCTGAGATTTATTTCTGAGATTAGGGTGGTTTGAAGCACTGATTACCTGCTCCTAAAATAGCTTCCCTGTACTCTGTGTCATCACATTTGAGGTAGGGTATGCTCACTCTTTATTTTTATAATTATCATTTCACTCTATTCTTCAAGATGCTTAGACTAATTACTTATGGATTTCATTGTGTCAATGGATGTGTTTTACTCAATGTAAGTAAAACACAAAGACCAGAAATTGTAAGTTGTCATTCTCGGTCTGACTCAAAGCAACATATAATAACGCCATATGGATTAACGTTCATATAACGTTCACATGCATTTTTCTGCTGACAATGCAATTGAATAATATTACACGGCAAATGATCTACTTGATATTAGAATTTGCATTTACATTACAGTGTTCCAGTTTGTAAGCATCTGAGGCCCAGAAAAAATACTCACTACTTGGTCTTTTGGTTATTCGGGATGGGAATAAAGTCTGTTAGTATTTGCTGTTTCAGATAAATGTACATAATCTCTAAATAAGTAAATTAGAAAGATATAGTTCAAATGATGTGTTACTTTTATAGGCATGTGTTTTAGAAATCCATCTATAATGTTACTAATGTGTTACTCTGAACATAAAACCAAATTTGCATTTTATAATCATTTACCACAAATGCAGAAAGATATCTTGTTAGCAATCGGTTATTGCACTTAACGCCTAAGCGGTTTAACAAGTAATCATAATGAAGAAAAAAGTGACAACAGCGAAAACGATAGAAATCCAAATCAGGCCAATCAGTATCGTTAAATATAAAGATACATTAATCACCTGTTTGTTTCCAAAATTTAGATCTCTACCGTCTATTATTTTTTTTTCCTTTTTATCACTACGTGAAGAAAAATAAGCATTTGTATAGAAATTGAGATGCATTAGACGCATAAAGGCTATGTCATTGAGTTAATGGTGACATTTATTCAGTGCCATACAGCAAGAAAAGAATATGTAAATAAACATGGCATTTACTTGTCTCTTCGTATTTTGGAGTGCAATGTAGAAGCATATTACAGATCCTATGCACAGTGCAAACGTGTTTATGCATAAACCATATACAAACATAAGCTTTTAAATTTTAAGTCCACGTTTTGTAATTAACTGCGGAAATTATGTAGGGCATTTTTTCAGCATTTCTCCTCTCGCCATCTCGTTAAAATTACTTAAAGCAGTGGAAAGCTCCGCAGGGGAAGGGGGTCAAGGGATACTTAAAATAGCGAAAAATTAGTTGAAGGATCAATGCATAATGACTGCATTCCGCTTGATTGAGCGTGTTGCTTGGTTCAGCAGATAAGAATCTATCCTTATTAGCATACCAAACAAAATGATAAATTGTAGCAAAGTATCTGCTCGCAAAGACAAATTATTGTTGGAAACAGTTTTTTTTCCACTGATAATCCGGAAACGGCCAGTTTACAAGTGAAAGTAAGATTAACAAGTAAATTAAGTTTCGAGCATGTAAAGTTGAATGTTATTTTGCAAATATATCCACGCCTGCCTCCAGATGTAACCTGAGATCTCACCTCCTCAACTGATTAGACTAATTTGTTGCCTGTGCACTCCAAAATGCTCTACATGCTCTAGTCCAAGAGAAGCTGATTTAGCGTGCAGATGGGTTCCATGATTTTAATAAACAGTGGAATAATATTATAAAATTAATAGATTCTTAGTCTTATAGGTACAAGTTCTGGAGCCAGAGAAGCTTTGCAAAATGTTTTCCATTCTGACAAGGGAATATAGGATCAATCCATTTTTAGTTCAGCTGACCTCGTCACAGAGCCAGATTTCTAACCTAACCCTTCCTCCAAGTCACCGCACTCATTCATATAAATTGTATACATAAGAAGAGAGGAATTGCTAGATGAAGGAAGACCAAGGTCCATCCAGTTCGCTTTCCATCATCCTGGCAGTCGCATGCACATGTCATGTCCCAAATTATATAATGTATTGTCCCGCATTATTATTTCCTAAAAGAAATCTATCTCACCTTTTACGAATCCAGAAAACTGTCAGTAAAGTACAACTTAATAATTCTGCTTTGAAATTACCTCACCATTTGAAATCTCTTAAAATTGACATAAAGTACATGATACCGATTCCAGTGTCTTTGCATCAGTCTGTGTCCTCATAGGGTAATTTGGCTATTCTCTCGTTCATAGAATCATAGAATTAAACAGCACAGAAGGTCATTCGGCCTATCGTGTCTGTGCCAAATCTATGAAAAAAGCTATCCAATTTAACCCCACTCCCCCGCGCTCTCCCCATAGTCCTGCAAACTTGACCTCCCCAAATAATTATCTACTTCTTTCTTACAAGTTGTTATCAAATCAGCTTCCACCAGCCTTTCAGGTCATGCATTCCAGATCCCAACGACTCGTTGTGTGAAAAAATTTCTTGGGTTACCGACCCACCCGCCAGTGGAAATAGTTTCTCCTTGTTCACCCTAATGAATCACCTCATAGTATTGAAAACTTCTATTAGGTCTCTTTGTAATCTTCTCTGCTCCAAGGAGTTTCTGGAGAACCTTCTAAAAGTTCAAGAAGAAACCTTCTAAAGATGCTGCCTCATTCTGAAGCCTCACCATATATTTTCATGAGTGACCTCACATTGTGAGTTGTCCGTTAGGTATTCAGCCCACAAACCCACAAAGTAGTTCAATTCTCTCATTGTGAAATATTCACAGACACGTTGCATCAAGGATAACACTAGGGAGTGGATCCTGCATGATTTTTGCCTTTTGTAGTCCAGGAATTAACTGTATACCATCAAGTACTTCTTGTGACCTTCAGCATTCAAATAAATATTTTAGTTTGTCAAGAGCAAGATTGCTTTCTTTATTTCATCGTCATCATAATGTGCTGCCACGTTAGGTGACTCTGAATGAAACAGCCAAATCAATACAAATTGATGCTCAAATTAATAACATTTTGCTGTGGGTTGAATACTTGTAATTGGGCTGAGTCTTCTCAAAATCAATTTATGTAGAAATGTTGGAGCTCACATTGAAAGGGATAATAATCACCCCATTCATTTAGCTTGGATTTGAACCTTTGGTCTATAAGTCTTCAAAAAGATAATGTTTTAGCGCACTGTTTTGCCTCGTCTTCATGATGTGCAAAATGTTTTGAAGTTTTACGTTCTTTTTAATAAGACAATAAGTTGTTCCAGTGCTAAAGCACTTGATTTCTAGGTCTTAGCAGAGATGGAACAGTCAAATTGAAATATTATTTGGATCCAGTGTATTCAGATCTGTTCGTTTCATTTTAGATGTATCTGTTGTTTAATATTATACCGCTGTTTTATCAGAACATTGTAACAGAAGCCAATCCAATGTGTGTGTGTCAATATTTCAGGAACAAATCAAAGTTTCATGTAAGTTAACTTACTGTATTGGTACAAACACAATATTTAGATTTATTTTGCTATATGATGGTTATGTTTGGAATAATGTTTCAAAACCTTTCAGGAATAGTTTCAAAATACGCAGTCAATCCACTTTACAATATATTCTGTGAAGCCCTTTGAGACGTCTCAACGACTTGTTAAGGCTCTTTATCAAATGCAAGGATTATTATTATTATTGAAACAGGATCACCGCACAAATAAATTGCTACAAAATATGAATGAAGCAAAACTTTAGTTAGGTAAGTGTACACATTATATGTGTGCAATGTGTTCTAAAACTGTAGAACTCAAGTGGTGAAGTGTTTCTTTTTCAATAAACAGATACATAGTAAAGATTGTCCTGATCACGTTTACTTATACATGCAAAACAGAATACATCTGAAAATAGACTAAAGCATAAAAGATTACATTAGACATTATTAAGAAAGGAAGCCACCTTTGGTACAAATGTAACAAAAAAATGCATAGTTTGCCGCAGGTGATTGAACAAATTTTGACTTTTTTTTGTGATTACTGATTTGAGAACAGCACAATATATTTCATACGGATATTAAGCAGTACAGAACCAATCTGACTTTGCTACAAGGTGTAGCTGGAGACAGTTTACTGGTTGATCCATGCTCAATAGGTATACAGTCAGCTGTTTGAAGCCCACAAGAAAAAGCGGCAAACACATGCTGTTATTCTATCCAGGCCAAGGTTAATTGAGACATGGATAAGCTGTGTAAATGGAACCGCTAAGTTGGCATGACATGCATTGGTTCAACAACTATTTAATTTAGGGTCCTGTGGAGTAAACCGCATCTACATTGGCACTGGAAATAATTACTGCTCAATACAGGATTCAGATTTTTGTGTACATTTGTTTTCATTCCATTCAGATGGAATTCTGATTGTTATCCCCTTGTTATTATCTCGAGATTTAATCAATATTCACTTACGTCATACATAATTTTCCACTTCAAACATGTATAGTACAGTTAATCTGTTCTGTGGGTCAGTTCCTGGATAAGACACTTAAGGGTGCATAAAATTGCTAATACGTTTGTCACACAATGGCATTGCTTTAATTGGTATGTCAGTCTACTGCTGTTTTGTATTAGCGAGAAGTTATTTTGTTAATTTAGTTTTTCATTTGTTCTTACCATTGACTTTATTTGGCTAAGGTTGGACATAGAAGAGATGAGAATTGACTAATCCAGGCATTAAAGTCGCGATGAAAGATTCCCTCCTACAGAGTCAATGGAATTTAACAAAGAAAAACAAATAAGCGTTGAACGTACAATACCCCTTTTCAAAAGTGATTTTAATTTTAAGTCGCAAAACCCTTATGTCTATCCTGGTGCCCTGATCTGGATACTGATAGTTCTCAGATTGTCATGACAAGTTGCATTACTCATTCTGTGGCTCCTCAACGGTAACTTTGCTCTCCCTCTTTTCCGTTCGTTTGCTACGTTTCTTCTTTTTCTTGGTGGACGAGGCAGATTGCTGCCCGTCCAATTTGGCCACTTGGTCCTGTTTGGCGGGCAATCGGACTGGACTACCTCCCATGTAGATGCTGGGCTGATACTCGTCAGGTTCCTGGTGCTCAAGCTGCTGTGATCCATATCGAGGAGCCCAAGTAGGAATGCCATCTTCTAGATCTGGAGATGCTTCAATGTAACCTGCATCTATTAAAACAAATGAGATAAAGACAAGACTATTACAGTTCATAAGAACAATAACAACAATAACAATATGGCGCCCCTTGCACAGGGTAGCATTCTAGAGACAGTGGTGCAGGACGATGCCGAGCCGGGGGGGAAGAGCCCACAGGGACGGTCGAAGAGGAAGGTCTTCGCTCATGACCTGAAGATAAGGAAGGAGCGGACAAGGCAGAGGGATAGGGGATGAATGTTTCATAGTTTCTGGGTGTAATTTAAATTGTGAATACAGAATTTACAGATTTTCAATTACTCTTTGAGATGCATTTAGGAATACATTTTAAGCTCCAATATCTTTGTTGATATTGTTGAACAGTCCCACAAACAGAAATGACATGAATGACCAATGGCCAGGATACTAGGATACTACTCTCTTCTTTTTTTAATATCGTCACACAAAGATGGATGTCTTCCTCACCTCTGCCTGAATAATGGAACATGTTCTTTACCACAGAATATATCAACAACACAATTCTAGAATTGCTGTCTTCCACAACAGGCATTTTTTATAAAGTGATTCGGACACATTCACCCTATTCGGTAGCAAGTTATTCACAGTTTTGCACATGACAATTATGACTTGGTGAAACAACCTGAATTCATTTTACTTAGACCCTTAGTGCTATGAGACATCATATTACAACCTATCAGTCTGGATTACATTCAAACCCAGGTTCCAGCGATCAAATAGAAAGCTCCAAGTTTTTGATTTGTAAGTCTTTTTGCCATAAATTAATAAAATGTCAGAAATCTTTTTTCAAAAAAAGAAATTTATACCCAACTCCCCACACAGTAAATTTAATTGATAAGTTTAGTAAGCACAAAAGTCATCTGCATTTATCGGACTCATTTAAATTTTGTTTCTCAGCTATTACTACATATGAGAGCAAAGATTTCCTGGCTAAAGATTCCTTTCATCCCTGATTTTCGCAGTAGCTTTTAAAAAATATGCAGTTTCTTGATGATATATTTATGAATTTAGTTTTCTAAATATTGTGAGCTTCATTTCAGAGTAATTTATTAAACAAAAATGGAAATTATTTTGTTTTTTGCATTGTTCAGTGGATAAACTAACAGTGCAATCTTATTTGATGCTAACACAAATAATTGCCTTTAGAGGATTAGTGGAAGCATGAGTGGAAGCACAAAATGTTTGTGGATTTGAAACTGGTCATTTGAGAAATGTATTAATTAGTTTCAGATCTAATTGTGGTAATGGTACAATGAATTCTGAATGCTTTGCATTAAATAGAATGACAAAGAATGAAATAATGTGCTGGCGTGAACTTCTATGTGCCATCTTTCTTGCCAACACAGGTCCAATCCTAGAATCAGCAGAAACTGCAGTGCACCATTGCCTTTTCTTAAAATATGACATGGTGACTTACGCCTGCATAAAACTAAATTGTTCCTAAGCGTGAGAGTATATCAACCATTCGCCCACAAAATCCACAATCAATCCACTTTATTCGTATATTCCGTGAGGCGCTTTGAGACGTCTCGATGACGTGAAAAGGCAAGGATTATTATTATTATAATAATGTTCCATTTTAAAAATAGTCGCAGCAGAAATTGACTTTCTTATATGAAATCTATGGTTTGAGGGATTATGATCATTGATTGCTATAAAAATTCTTTTGTTTAATATTAGACTCTGTCAGTTTCAATAGGCAACTGAATCTATTGTCAACCTCCATTTGTAAACTCCCTTCTTGATACAAAATGTATTTGTAGCTAAAAAGCCGCTGAAGATCTGGGGAAAATTGTTTTCCCAATAAGTGTGTGGGGGCCAGAAAAACAGAAAAAGAAACAGAGAACCCACTTGCAGTTTCTTGTCCTTCATACTAAATCATGTTTAAAGCGATTTCAAAGCTGTTGTTAAAAGATGTTGCTGCATTAATAATTAAGGAGCCATTTGTAAATGGTAGTTGGACATTATGTGATATTCCCATGTAAAACACTAGCAAATGTGTGTTTTATGGTTTATCACCATTTTACTCAGTACGTGCTCAGTAACACTGCATAAGTGATGAGGAAAATAAATGATGTATTGCTGAAACTCGCCGAGTCCTAAATGATACAACAGTCAAATTTTCACAAAATTGGAGAAAAAAAAGCAATATAAATTTCATCTTGCTTTAGCTGGAGTTTTCAGGATACGAACATCTCCTGTTGTTTCGATCTGTTTTCTCTCATCCAATTTGACTCAAATTTCTCCCTAACGACTCATCTGTATGCATTTAAGCTTTTCTTGTGGTATGGTACAGTACTTCATCCGAGTGCCCATTATTCATGTCTAAGCATTGACATTGAATGTCAGCAAGCTATTAGAAAGGGAGTGCGGAAAGGGTCATTCCATCAAATCCAATCCTTTCTTCACTCAACACTCACAAATACAAACATCTTCAATCAGGGGTCCCTATATAGCAATCAACAGAATCCTGGCTAATTTGCTCCCTCACTAACCCAGGAACAATGAAGCTCTTCATGTAGATTGTCAACAAAACAACCACTTGTACATCTGAAAACATAATGACAGTCGATTCACCAACAAAGGAATCACTTCCCCGCAGGCAGAGTCAATTAAAGAAAAAAAAAGCTCTTCTGCTAAACTTTCACAAAAATTACTCGCCAGGAGCCAACCTCACATCAAATAAATTGGGATTTCAGATTTGCATCAAATCAAATATGCCGCCAGTCAGACTCATATTTAAGTTACCTTGATGCCCCACTTAATCACCGATCTACAAAGTGCAAGTGGGCAAGAGCAGTGTGCATGTTGAAAATGGCAGATGAAACATGCTTACACAATGCATGAAGGTTCACCTAAGCAAGCTTGACTTCGGTGAATTTCACGATAACGTTACGAAAAAGAATTACACTTAAAAATACCCAAATAGCACAAACTTTTAACCATGCTGTTGTCCCTACGTAAATTTTATTGAGAAATGTAATAATAATAATCATAATAAGAATAGCATTTGATATAGCATCTTATCACATCATCAAGACGTTTCAAAGCGCTTCACAGAATATACTGTAAAATGAATTGACTGCATATTTTAGGTTAATTGTAATTCCATTCTCACCGCTCTGTCTTTACGTATTTGCTAGCACTAACAAAAAAATTGGTTCAGGTTCACAAAGACATCCAGACATGTAATCAATGATCAAATGATTGATCCTCCTTTACCTGGACCTCAGAGAAATGAACCAGAAAGAGAGCACAACAGAAAAAGCAACGAAATGCTAATTTTAAACTTAAGTTATACAGCATAACAACAACAACAACAAAATTACATTTATAGAGAGCCTTTCACATCGGGAGGATGTCCCAAAGCGCTGAAATCCTATCAGATAGACACAGCGTGACTCTTCATTTTAAAACAGAAAAATGTTGGAAAAGTTTGGATCAGAATCTGAAAGAGAAAGAGAAATGAGAGTCCTTTTGTCATATCACCTGAAGTCTTAACCTGTCTGTCTCTTTCAGATGCTGATTGATGTGCTCTGCATTTTCTAGAATGTTCGCTTTTTATTTCAGATTCCCAGCAGTCACGTTTTGCTCTTTTTATCTGTAATGCATAAGCCTGGAATTGAGATAATAAAATTCTATCGGCATCCACTAGTTAATTCTGCAGCAACACCTTTGATTCTGCTTTCCTTTGTAGGCAGACAGTACTGTGAGTCTTGGCAGCCTTCAGATACCTCAGTCAAGTGACCGTCCTTGGTAAGTCAGTCTAGACAGCGAGCGTCTGCTCAGTGTCTGACTGCAATAGCATCACAGCCAATAAACACCCGTCCTCACCCAGTCAGCTTCACTGGATAACTATGAGGACCAAAAATGCTGGCTGAATGCCCTCCATAAAATTAGTTATCGCAGCACATATCATTGATCAAATCATGAATCAAGGTACAATAAAGAATAATAATCCTTGCATTTGATATAGCACATTCTCACATCATTTTAAAAATTTAAACAATAATTTGGGATTGACATTTTTCAGCATGAAACTACACAAAAGAAACCCGTAGTTAGGACTACACAACACATTCTGTCAATTTGTCAGTGTCCTTGATAACAGTGATTGTCCATTGCAATACTATCCTGCAATAAAACAGTATGGCAAATCCACCAGCTTGGATATGTGTCTGTACTTGAGGTGTGTGCTCGTTTCATTTTCTCTGCCATTCAATCATACAACCAAATCTAACAGTTATTTGTGAACCATTATAACACAATCCTGTGCAACGTGCAAAGAGCAACTGCTTCCCCATTAGCTAGAAATAAGACTTGGATTCAGTCCGCTTCAAACTCAATCTACTTCCAATCGTGTAGGACCATAGTTTCTGCCAATTTGTGCAATGCACATTCCATTATCAGCAGGCTATCAAATAAATATGAATTCTAGGCAAATCCTGGTTGCAAATATTACATTTGGGACCCTTGTATTATTAACTCACTAGTAAATTAAGCTTCGAATGATGAAATTATAACTGCTTACAAGTATTCTGTTGTGAAGCATTTTGTCTCCATAGCAATAGTGAACCTCGGTTTTAAACAATGTCTTGTTAAAACGCTTAAGTGTTAATCCTGTTTAAGAAGGGCTATAATCATCTCGTCTCTGAGGCTCACGCATGGAGGGCTGTCAGCTTTTCATCTGCTTTTCCCTTCATTGTGCAAAAGACACCATATGGACTGCAAAAGTTCAGCTGTCGGTGAGATACTGGAAATGGCATTACATTTCAAAGATTGTAGCTCTGAGGTGAGTTTAGATGTTAACAATCGATTCTCCAGTTAAAGTAATTAGTTGAATTAGCTGAACAGTATAATTGTCCCTTTCTCAGCAGGCTAAGGGTTAAATCCCCTAAACTACCTGCAAATCCCCTAATAGTTTAGTTGAGGTCATAAGATGTTCAATCCTGGGAACTGTTGTTATGACACTAACACATGTCTTCCAGGAGGAGAG